AAAAAAAAAAAAAAAAAGACAGGGTCCAGGAGATGAAACAAGAAAGCAAGCTTCAGAATATCAACTATTGTCTATTGACAGGATGCTTAGTACCTGCCAGGCAGGGAACTAGGTACTTAAGCCCATTATTTCACTGAATCATCTTACAACAACACTAGACTTTATTATACTTCTGAGGACTTAGAGGAAGAGGGTAGTTAATTATGTAAGATCACACAGATTACAAGCATATGACTCCCATATCTCTGACTACCAAGCCCACGTTGTTAACTGCTAGGTTATAACACATTAATTGGGAGCTTTCTATAGGTTGACCACATGGTAGTAGGCACTTTATACTATCCCAAGTAATTCTCACAGGTAAGGTGGGTATCACTGGCCTAACTTTATAAATGAGGAAAGTGAAGCTTAAAGCAGTTAAGTAACATCCCAAGGCAGTTAGGTTAAGCCAGGTCTATCTGACTTCAAAGCTTGTAGTTAAGTGCCAAATGAGAGTACAAGACAACAAAAAAGAAAGAGGAAAAATTAAGATAGAGTAGAAAGAAGGCAGCAGGCCCCATTCCTTCCAGATTAAGAAACTAAGAAATTGGGAATAAGACATTCCTACGATGGAGGACCTTCTTCTAGCTCAGTGCTTCTCAACTTTGGCTACACATTAATATATTCTGATGCGAGGCTACAGAGCAGACCAAACAAACCAGAATCTCTAGTCGGGGGACCCAGAGAGTAGTAGTTGGTACAGCTGATTTCCACACTAACCACAGGTGAGCACTGTGCTACAACTCTCCCGCAGCTGTGTGCCATTGTATTACTTCCCTCACTTATGTATATTTAGATATAAAATAATATTACTATCGCTGGTGGCTTCAAAACAGGTGGAGTAATCTTAGAAGTTAAAAAATCCTTCTCTCTTTTCCTCAGATTCACTTAGGAAGCAGAAAGTTCTTCAGCTTAGGAGAATCCACAGCTATTTAATAAATTCCAGTTAACAAAGAGGTCCTAAAAATCTTGGAAGGTAATTATTGAATTAATTGGCTTAGAGAAGAAGCAATAACATATAAATCTAAGGCTGCTGCCAAATGTCTCTGCCAACCAAATAGGTTAATACTAAATGCAAAATCCTGTGTTTTCCTTGCACTTCTCCGGGTGGAGAGCATAGGAGCTTTAGAACCTCTTGGAAACAACAGACATTTGTAAGTTACTGCCTCCCACTTGCCATTTCTCTTTTATTATTATTTTTATAATATTTATTTATTTTTGACAGAGAGAGAGAGAAAGAGAGAATTTTTTTTTTGTAGGAAAGAAAAAAACGGGCACCTGGGTGGCTCAGTCAGTTAAGCATCCAACTTGATTTTCGCTCAGTTTATGACCCCAGGTTCATGGAATCAAGCCCTGAGTCGGGCTCTGCCTGGGTGTGGAGCTTGCTTAGGATTCTCTCTCTCCCTGTGCTCCGCCCCCGCTCATGCTCTCTCTTAAAAATAAAAATACAGAAAGACTATAGAGGGTTCAAAGCCAGCTGTCAACACCTCTCTCACATCCCAGCAGCGTGTCACTGAACACTCCCAGGGCTCCCAGAACCTACATGTTTTCCCACAGCCCAGAAGTTGCCACCGAGTCGCCTCCCAGGACTGCTGCTGCCTGTGTCTGTGATACACATCAGCACTTGACGCACACAAAGGAAGAGCCCACACTGGTTAATCCGGCTATTCTTGTTCACCCAAAGGGGCATTCTCATGTCACGGCCAAGTCCACCCCTGAAATTGTCTAACACTTTTTAAATGCTCTTTTATTTCCAGCCAGCTACATATGGCCAATGAGACCGGCCTGACAGAGCCAAAGCAGGGCTGTCCCTCGGCCAGCTGGCAGCAGGTAGGGCTACAATCTGTGGCAATGAAGACAGCACTTGAGTGAAGCGGGCACCTTCCCCAGACAGGACTCCTTGGAGCCAACTGAGAGCCTCTGCCCCAGCACCAGATGCTCTTTAAGGCCACCTGTCCGCCTGCAGCCAGAGACACAGCCTCCAGGGACAGTTCATTCAGAGCATGCATGCTGTTCCTGCTCTAGTCCCTTCTTCCAGTTCTTGCCTTTGGTTCTCCCTTACAAAGGGTCACGGGTTTATCCTTTAGCACAATTCAATACTGGAGAGTAAACACAAAGCAAAAAAGAGCATTTCAACTTGACTATTAATATATGTACTTGGATTGATGTGGGATGAAAATAACTCAGTGGTAGTGAGGGGCTCTTTCCTTTAGATAGAGACACAGATTTACTTACCCTCCCATTTTGCAGTCCCCAGTCCCACCTTTCCAGGCTCTGACATACTTCGGATTGGCCCACAGGGACACAGGCTTAAAGGTTCCACTTGAAAAATAAGGTCCCACTGGGCTCAAGATTACAAAGAGCAGGGCTTTGGTAGGCTTCTTGACTCCAAGGGAAGGCTAAAATAAAATAAAAGTACACATGACTGTTAATTTAAATGTAGACAACAGTCGTAAAGTCTAGAATAGATCTGTAACTACCTCCCAGAGGGGCTGTCTAGGCACAGGCGCTGTTCCTTCTAAAGTTGAGTTACACAAAGCCAGATGGTCTTTTAGGAAGAAAACACAAAGAATGGAGTGCTGAAGTTTCATGTTGCTTTGCCTTCTGAGTCAGGATTTTCGGGAAAAAAGCCAATTTGTCAACTTTTGTTTTTTTTGTGCGTGAGTAGGGTTTTAAGAGGAGAGGTACCTTTTTGACAACTAGCTATATAACACCTTGCAATGTTGCACTGACTGGGAAATGAAAAAGGGAAGAACCCAGACATGACTTTAGTCTGTGGAGAGGAAATGTAATATTTGCTTTTTTAGTTTCCCCTTCTATGTTCACTGACTACTGCTACTTCAGGACATGCCAGGGCCTCCAGCAGGTGGCGGGCACAGGTGAGTGTGCCATTTCCACAACTGTCACAGGAAGCAGACAGCAAGAGTGTAGCCTCCTTAGAGACAAAGATACCAGAGGAGATAAATATCCCCCTAAAAGCCAGAGAATGAAGGATTCAGGAATTTATAACGTGAATGACAAAGATAGAAAATGGTCTTTCCCACAAACACTGGAAAATCATAAGCCAGCAATGCAAAACCATATAAATATCTCCAGCATAAAACAGTTTTCATAAGTAATTACTGTCAGTTGTTTACTAAGGAGGAAAACTGAAAGACTGAAAGCCTTAAGGGCTATGTATTATAAAGGCAAAAAAAAAAAAAAAAAGGCTACTGGGCTATTCTATGCAATTCAAGACCACTGGAAATAGAAAACAAGTCCAGTATTATTACAGTCTTGGGATATAAAACACTTGTGTCCAGTCTTCACTAGAGTCTGGTCTGACTAGACGGTGGTAAGAGTCTGTCATGGACAGAATAAGAAGAGACTCAATTCCAGCTGATTTTGTGGCTTTTGTTTTGATGAACTAGCTAAAAGTGGATTTGGGGGTATTTTCTTCTGAATTTCATTACATCTCCCTTCTATTACCTACTGGCCCAAGGCCCCTCGCTCACTACTTATGGCCAGGTCATCAAAAATCAGATAGGTAAAGGGGCACCTGGGTGGCTCAGTTGGTTGAGCATCTGACTTCGGCTCAGGTCATGATCTCGTGGTCTGTGAGTTTGAGCCCTGCATCGGGCTCTGTGCTGACAGCTCAGAGCCTGGAGCCTGCTTCGGATTCTGTGTCTCCCTCTCTCTCTGCCCCTCCCCTGCTCATGCTCTGTCTCTCTCTGTCTCAGAAATAAATAAAACGTTAAAATTTTTTTTTTAAAGAATCAGGTAGGTAAAATATTCACAGACATTAAAAAAATGTGTCTCTATATGTGCACACTGATGCCATCTAAAAGGCATGCAACCCTCAGAAAACGGGAACATGATTCCATTTGCACTCCATGTGAACATGAGACCAAGAAAGGCTTGGATGACCAGAGTCAGCAAGCAACAACAGGTTTTGGTGTTTTACCTGTCTGGATTTGTTCTTAGTTGGGGCTGAACAGGACTCACCTACCAATAAAGAGTGAAGAGCTTTAAAACTTCATTTGCCTTTTTTATTTCAATGTTTGGGACAGAAAACTTCAGAATAATAATACAAACCTGCCTTTCTTCTCAGCTTTGATAAAAACTGACTATCTTATCTCCACACTTTTATTTACCTATCAGTTAAGTAAATGCAATGATATTTTCATCTCAGAGGAACTGTGAAGATTAATATATTTTTTTTTAATTTTATGAACCCTCGTATTGAGTAATGAAGAGAAGCTCCCCAACAGAACTTAGAAATACAATCTGCAGGACACATCTTCAGTCATTTATCTATCTTCTACGTTTCTGAATGAAATGGCTTATTTGTGGGCAAACAGATAAGCATTTTATTAGAGAACACATAAATGTCTGGGCTTTTTTCACTCTAAACTCATGTATTTTTCGCAACCTGCATTATACTAAAAGCAATAACTCATCATCACGAAAATACTGGTGTGAGATAATTTTCATCTTCCTCATTTCCTTCCCCTGACTTGAAATGATGGGTAAACTTGCATTTATTCCACTAGGTGGTGGTATAGAGAGCACAGATGGAAATGGAATAATCCTATGCGTTAAATCTATTTCTGGAAAAAAAAAAAAAATCAATAAACCTTTAAGGAACACTTTTATTCTTAGCAAGCAGGTAAATTATAGACTAGAATTTTCCAATGTTGAGAAAATGTGGTTATGTGTACTAACATTTTATTTTCTGAAATTTAAGCAAAGTCAATTCATGTTTTTTACAAGTACTTCAAGTACTAGTGTTGAGCACAGCTTAGTCACCTTCATCCTTAAATGATTACTTATATTGATCGTCTTCTCATGAAAAGAACTCTGCGACTTTACTGCAAATGGTCACACTGCTTCAAGAGTGAAAATAAATAAAAGTTAACTGCATCAGGAAGGGAGCTTTGGGACTGGGTTTGCTTCTACCCTCAGGAACCTTTATTTGTTTTCTCTGAATTCTCCCTTCTATCCTGGAAAGCAATTTAAATTCTGTGCTATTGCTGCAATTAAGAGTAAGTTCTTTTGGGGCGCCTGGGTGGCGCAGTCGGTTAAGCGTCCGACTTCAGCCAGGTCACGATCTTGCGGTCCATGAGTTCGAGCCCCGCGTCAGGCTCTGGGCTGATGGCTCGGAGCCTGGAGCCTGTTTCCGATTCTGTGTCTCCCTCTCTCTCTGCCCCTCCCCCGTTCATGCTCTGTCTCTCTCTGTCCCAAAATAAATAAAAAACGTTGAAAAAAAAAATTAAGAGTAAGTTCTTTTATAATATTAATTAAATGGCAGTAAACACACTTCTATGATGACAAGGTCAGTCTTCTATTCAAATAAAGCAAAAACCACACAAATAAAGAGAAGTTATGAAAGACCACATCTGATAAGTAATGTAAATCAGTTTCATTAAGTTTCATTTCCTTATGAACATTGTTGGGTTTTTTAAATTCTTTTTGCTAGTTTCCTGGATTATTTCAATATATAAGGAATTGAAGATGGCTTAAAAAAAAAAAAAAGGCCAGGGGAAATGGAGAATATAAAATCTCATAGAGGTAAAGTATGTAACTTCTCAAGGGACCACACTGACTTAGGTTGACATTCTGATGTATACCAAAAATACTCATCTTACTTTATATTATACCTCACAGATAAACACATAAAGGTATTCAATGCATGTATATTTTGCACAAAATAACAAGACACTTGGGTGTGATGGAATATAAAGTGACATGTTCCAGTGAAAATTACCACTTCTGAGTCAGTCAGAAAATTAGTGCATAAAAAGACAGGATTTCAGAGGTTACGTGAACGACGGCAGGAAGTGCTTTGAGAGCTGAGAAAGGTACTATTAGTCCTTGTGGCGTGGAAGGCAGAGAAGCACAGTAGCAGTGTGGAAACTTCAGAAAAATCGTTGTTGTTGTTTTTTTAACATTCATTTATTTTTGAGAGATAGATCGTGGGTGGGATAGGGGTAGGGAGAGGCAGACATAGAATCTGAAGCAGGCTCCAGGCTCTGAGCTGTCAGCACAGAGCCTGCAGGGCTCAAACCCACGAAGTGTGAGATCATGACCTGAGCTGAAGTTGGATGCTTAACTGACTGAGCCACCCAGGCACCCTGAAAAATTCTGGTTAAGCAAG